GAGAGAGAGAGAGAGAGAGAGAGAGAGAGAAGGTTAATACCAGAAAGAAAATAGAAGGACCTACAGCCTTCTTAAGCCCATATGACACTCATGTGCTGCTCTGTACAAATTACAATACAGTACTTCCAAAGAAATCCTGCTCTTAAGAGAAAAAAAATTCATAACTCTCCCTAAAGTTTGAGCTGTGCATCCTTGGAGGGCGTTGAATCCCATGGAATTCAGCAGAACCTACCTCACTGTTAACATGTCTGCAGTTGTCCTGAAAAAGCTCCTTCTTGTTTGAAAAATTGTGGCATCTTTTCTGAAGAGGAAATAGAAGTAGATCAGTGGGAAAGCAATCAAACAAATTAAGTAATTAAACCTGCAAAAATAGCCAAAGTCATTTATGAGCCCTCCCTTCCTCAAAGGCACCTAAAAACTAGCAAAAATATTGGGGGAGGAGATGAGTCTGTCAATGAAACTGAAATCCACTTAAATTTTAGATATTATCACTTTTTTTGGTAATTTTAGATATTATTATAATTTATATAATTTTAGTGTTTATTTTGTAATTTACACATAGATTATATCCTGGACTTCACTCATAGATGCTAGTTAGGATGTTTTATAAATGTTATTTTAACTTTGTGTTAAATTTTATTTTGTTTATTATCTATTAAGTTAGATTTATATCGAGAGAGAGTCATAGAGTACTTTGCTTGTACTGGTCTATGACCACAATAAAATAAATCGCAATTGAAATGAGAGTCTAATCCTTGGATGAAGAAGAATTTTAAGACAGAGATCTTTAATTAGTGGGCAGTGTTAGAAATAAAGGAATATCAAATCTGATAAACACTTAACTGTGTGCATGAACAGTGAACAGTCCTCCTGAATTTAAAGGAATTATTTCTGAATAAACATATGGTACATGGAATTAAATGTCACCGCAGCCCACTCGCTAAGTGTGAGTTTCCACAGAATGCAATCAATCTGATTTCTTCATAACATGGAATGGGAAGGACACTCAATGTTGTATATTTATCTAGATCAATGTTTCTCAACCTTTGCGCCTTTAAGATGTGTGGACTTCAACTCCCAGAATTCCCCAGCCAGCAAGGCTATCCCTGAGAATTCTGGGAGTTGAAGTCCACATATTTGGAGCCTAGCACATGAAATCTGGTCTTTGATCACTGTAAACTTCATCCCAGGATTGTTAATTATTTGATCAGTGAAGCACACAACACTAATGCAGTTATCAAATGACATGTGGAATTCTAATACATGTATTTTACTGTTTTGTGAACTGACCTGGCAACTTATATTTTTCATAGGTGGGCTCGAAACTGGGGGAAAAAATAAATAACCTCAATATTTTTTTTCTTCAACTACCAATTTGATGAATGTTAAATCCTGTTTCACAGATTTATATTTGGCAGCTTGGCAAAATCTATTACTCTGGACAGTTTAAAGGCCGAATCCAAGTAGCCACCAACATGGGAAATGCAAGTCTTTCAATCTTCAACATACAGCCCTCAGACACAGGCGTTTATGGGTGTATGGTTTTCAATCCCAATGACTCCATTTCCGAAAGTGAAAAATCAGTGACTGTCAGCGTGCTAGGTACTTATTTTCTTTTCTTCTTTAGCATGTCTCTGTGCTCTTCATCTGCTATATCGAATTAAAGATTCAGTGATTAGGTTCCACATCAAGCTAAGCTAAAATGTGTTTTGTCTTCTGTTCTGGCTTAGCACATTGTATGAATTCAGCCACTGTGGTTGATCAATCCTACTTATGGCTTAGTACAGTGTGTAAGCCTGGTCAGCCAACAAGCCAAAGTCAAACCATAGCTTAGGATAGCATGCAACCCAGGCCACAGAGATGTATACTTGAGCCTCTAGTCAACTATTGGCTGAGTTCATATCTTGCACTGAACCATCATGTGTATTTATTGGATTTGACTTAGTGTGTTGTGTGAACGTGTTTCATTGAGGCTTATTTAATAAGCCATAATGTAGTGCAATGGGTGAGCCATTTGTAAAAAACAAATGTTGACTGCAGGGAGATGTCACAGTGATCGAATTCATGTAGTTGGCTAAGCTATGATAAATTAAGCTTTTGGTTTAGAGTGTGGTGTGAACCAACTCACTGCGACTTGTAAAGTATGGCTCACGTTATATAAATGCAGTTGGTTGTGATTTATTAATTAAACCAAGGCTAAACAAAGAATCAGTGCTAAACAAAGTAGTCAGTGTGTATTTCCTGCTCAGCAGTCCTTCCATCTGTCCTGCCATTCAAGGAAGATGTTCTGCTTGCCCTACCCAATTTCCATTCTTGTTCTAACTCAACATTCCCGAATGATTAAGTCTTCTCTGACCTTGTAAGACTATTTTTCCTGAGTAACTGAGTTCCCCCTTTCACAGTTGGCTGGTAGATGGAGTTTTGCCTTCTCAAACATGCCAATCACTTCTTAAAATTTTTCGATGGCTCCATTTTAGCTCCAGGTTTATTATGTTTACTATTAGAAGAAAGTCAGTTGTCAAAAGGAACAATGCATTCTCAATAATATCATTCAAGCTGAAATAAATTATTGTCCATGTGATTTAGGTCTGGGTATGAATTCCATTGGAACTGCAGAGACCAGGACACCCAAATTCACTTCCTGTTGTCTCTTTTTCCTTCCCATTGTATTATCTTTTTGTATACAGCGGGTTGCATAGTTCTCAGCCAAGTAATGGTTAAGGGCTAGCCCTTACAGAGTTAATTGCAGGATCTGATAAAATAGAAGAAAATAGCTGATAAAATAAAATAAAGAATACTAAGAGTAAGATGCTTTCATTTTGCCATCTCATCATGGGAATCTTTCCTGCAAATGCTAAGCTTCTGCGGGACAACATCCAATGTATTTTCATCAGACACACAATCTTTGCTACAGAGATAAGCTTAGGAGAAACTGGTTCTTCTAATTTGTCTTTTTACGAGTTGGGACTGTTGTTTGTGACCATAGGCGTTATGGTTGGCTTGTTAGTTGTTTTTAATCCTTTACGCCACCCAGAATCACATCTGTGAGATGGGCAGCCATATAAATTTTATGTATGTATGTATGTATGTATGTATGTATGTAGTATGAGTGAATGTTAGAAGCTGGCTGGGCTGAGCAAATATTGGAGGCCCCCAGTGACAAAAGTACTTTATTTTTCCATTTAAACCAGTGTTTCTCAACCTTGGGAACTTTAAGATGTGTGGACTTCAACTCCCAGAATTAAAGTTCCCAAGGTTGAGAAACACTGGTTTAAACTATATTGCACATATAAGGGGGAAAAAGTCTAATAGGATACATTTGTAAAGAAAACCGTGTTCTTCTTTTTTTTTTAATGAAAGCCAGCACTGTCTTTGTGAGATGGGCGGCTATATAAATGTGATGTATGTATGTATGTATGTATGTATGTATGTAGTATGAGTGAATGTTAGAAGCTGGCTGGGCTGAGCAAATATTGG